ATTTTCAATCAATTATCATAGATTTAACATAACTAATTAGCTAGTCCGGAGAAAAAAATTCAGGGAGGTAGTTGGTGCGAAAGTATCCCGGATTGCCTTGATCGTTCAACTACGTCCTTAGGTTCTTCCAACCATATGAAACAACGAGGTTTTTTCGCTGGTGTACTTCATAATACTTCTAAACAAAATCCAGGTGATACACATGACTATTACTAATTATATCTGTGAATTTTTAACCCACCTCTTCTAACTCCAAAACATTGTTGGAATTGGTAGAGTTTCATAATTGGAATAGGGTGAGGGTGAAGTATTGTGATGGTTCATCTTTCACTGGTGATGTTGAACAAGTTCACTCTGTAAGAAATATACTACATATGTATATATTATTACTTTCGTAACATTTTTTTTTATTAAATTATCCAAATAATGTATATTAGGAGAACAAGTTGTATTTTAGAGGGGCAAGAATATTTAAGGCTATTATGGAAGATTTATGGAGGAAAGGAATGAAAAGCGCTGAAAATGTAAGAATATGTACTTACTACTCCCCTTATACTATGATATCTTCTTCTTATTTTTTCAAAAAATAAATAAATACATAAATCCTTGGCTAAATGTTGAATATAAAAATGTTGTTAGGCAATTCTATCGGGAACATCAGCAGGTGGGTTGGCAACAATCTTGAACTGCGACAAATTTAAATGCCTCCTTTCAGAGAGTGCTAAAGTAAAATGTGTCGCGGATGCTGCCTTCTTTATCAATAGGTCAGCACACTCTTCTTATATATGATCTCAGGAAAATTCGATTCTCTTGACACATTCATAATTAATTATAATGCAGCAAGACAATCTATGGTACTTCATATATTCAAGAAATGTATCGAAAAATTGTTAACCTACATGTGAGTCACATTTTATTTTATTTTTTTGTTTTAGTAATTTTGATATGCTTAAGAAGTATATACCAGGATGAATCTTTTCCTCTTTCGTTATCAGGGATCAGCTAAGAATTTGCCGTCAGCTTGCACGTATGTAATGGAGCCAAGTCTGGTAAAAGCTTAAGCTTTCATAACAAAAACAATTTCTTTAATTATATAGTATAGTAGTATAAATATTTCACTCTCATTATAACATTATATGTATTTCCTAATTGATGATATATGGTGCAGTGCCTTTTCTCTCAAAATGTTATTCCGTACATTCAGACTCCACTTTTCATAATCAATTCAATTTATGATTCCTGGCAGGTCAAGTAGACAAATGCTAATTAAATTTTCTCGGTTTTAATTCATTCTTTAGCTTCTATAAGTATAAATTTAAACCAAATTAATTATTTTGTACACTGATCCAGATTAATAACACTTTGGTTCCTCTATTCCTTGATCCTCAACATGCCTGGACGGATTGCATCAATAACATAAGTAGATGCACATCTAGCCAACTTATAATTATTCAAGGTTAACATTTCTCTAGTGATTAACTAATGTATACGATACGACATCACATTACACATGTATAATGACTCTTCTTCTCCCTTAATTTTTTTTAGTATGTTTTGTTTTAATTTAGCTTTTGGAGTGAAGTTCTTGAAGACATTCAATAAACTACCCTCTTGTTGTACAAGGGGTTATTTCCTCACGTCTTGCTATTCTCATGGTGATCTTCGTTTTCCAACATACTGGTTCAGTGCTAGCTCTCCAAGGTTACTTAATAAGGTAATGTTTCATTTGTTTTAGACATATAACACATTCTTTTTGTTTTTTCAAATTTTATCATGTGTCTATTATTCTTATTTTTGATGAGTTTCGTAACAAATTTTAATTTATCGTAAAATGTTACGTGTGTAGACAATTGCAGAAGCTGTTGCGGATTGGTACTTTGAGAGAGCAGGGTTTCAATACAAAGACCCTTACCCTTGTGCTAGAGATTGCAAATTATAATAAGTTTATGAAATTTTATAACGAATAGGCTTGCCGATGTTGTACCTCCTGCTTATTTGGTGGTACGTAGTTGTTGAGGAGTAGCTAAGTTGGAGTTTGAAGAAAGTTTTTGTGTTACACTTTTGAGTCATATTAGATTTTAGTACAAAAGCTTCTAATTGTTTTGTTTAACATCACTTAAGTTTAATGTATTTCAATTTTGTCCAATATTAGTCCATACTAATCTTTTCCTCGATCTTATGTCTTTCTCATGATTGGTTTAGTAAATATGACACCTTTAAAGTAAGTTATCTTTGTCCTAGTTATAAAGAGAGAAATTCATAAGATTCAAATACTAATGTATGCATCTTCATTAAAAAAACAATTAGATAAGCATCAAGCCAATTAGTGATAATATTTTCTTTCTCTTTCAAAAGATGTAGACCTTAATTGATTTTATCTTTTGCTCTACGATAATTTTAATCTAAGTATTTTCGTTAATTACGGCACGATGCTTAAATCAATTAGCATCCCCTATCTAAATAATTGTCAATGCATAAAGTTGCATTAGACGAAATTGTGGGCACAGATTTAACGAACGTGAAATCGTGGTATTTCTATATAATTATATTTTTTAATTAATTTAATATTATTTATTGGCTCCGTGCCCTCAAAAGACGTAATGGTATACATTATTGAATATTGAGTTATTTATCCCGTAGAATATAAATCAATTTTATTTAATTCTTTCTCTTTTATCCTTTTTAATAATTCTAAATTCAACTTTAAAATTTGTGGAATTTTATGTAACGAAATTGTGCGGGAGACAAAGGCTTATGTTATGAATGAGTCTGAATCAGTATTACTCCCCTAATTACTTGTTCATTTTTTTCATTTTAGTTGTCCCTAATTACTTGTCCATTTTGACAAATCAAGAAAGGACAAAAAAAAATTCTATATTATACCCTCAATTTATTACTTTGAAAAATATAGAACTTTTTGAAAATCTTAAGTTTTTAATTCATCTAGTTCATAATTAATAAGGGTAAATTGGTAAACTCACTATATCAATTATTGGAGTCCGGAGCCTAAAGGGCAAAAAAAATTGTCAAAAATTCCAAAAGAGCACATCACTTTTTATTCTAGCCAAAAGGGCAAAATCGCTGCGTCAGCAGCGATTTTCCTATGACAAAATGACTAAATAGCAGCGATTTCGTCTAAAAAAAAAATTTTATTTTTTTTAATTAAATTTTGTTTTTATTATTATTATTAAAAATCGCTGCCATTGTTAAAAAAAGAAAAAAAAAATTGTTGTGGCAGCGATTTTAAGTTAGAATTTTTTTTTTCCTTACACATCGCTGCAGGGGCAGCGTTTTTCATGCCGAGTACTATTATTTTCATGCCTATTATTACTTATTAATAATATAAAAATGATAAACAAGACGACAGTATACTCAATAAAATTGTTGAAGCATGAGGAAAATTGAATTATATATCATAAATAATAATAAAAGAATATTAAATTAGAAAAAAAAACTTTTTTTTAAAATTCTTAACCAATTTCGCTGCTATAGCAGCGATTTTGAAGAAAAAAAGTTATTTTTTTTTTAGAAAATATGCAGCGATTTTTATTTTTGTTTTGTCAGAAGCCCTTTTGGTTAATTTTTTTTTTTGATGTGCCGTTTTAGTTTTTTTAAAGAAAAAGCAGCGATCTTTAATTAAAAAAAATTACAAAATGCGATTTTTAATTAATTAATTTTTTTTTTTTACAAAATCGCTGCTGTGGCAGCGATTTTTAATTAAATTTTTTTTTTTTTTTAATTAAAGAAAAAAAAAAAAATTAGACGAAATCGCTGCTATTTCGTCTTTTTGTCAGAGGAAAATCGCTGCTGGCGCAGCGATTTTGCCCTTTTGGCTAGAATAAAAAGTGATGTGCCCTTTTGGAATTTTTGACAATTTTTTTTGCCCTTTAGGCTCCGGACTCTCAATTATTGTTTTCTTAATAGGTGTGTCAATTTAAAAGTAGACAAGTAATTAGGGACTGAGGGAGTAGCAAATAAACCCAACATTAAACTATGTGATTATGTTAAAGATTCAAAAATAATCAGATTAATGAATAAAAATCTTGATGGATAGTCAGATAATTGTCCTTTTCTTGTTCCTACAATCCCCAGTCAATTGTTGTTTTAGTATTTCAGTGTAATTTTGTTTAGTGATTATATAATATACATTAATATTCGAAATCACCAAAAGTAGCTTCTACTTAAATTTTATCTTTATTTAGATGCGGAAAAAGCTCAAAAATATCTTTAACCTATTAGAAATGGTTCAAAAATATCCTTCTTACACTTAATTTTAAACTGTCCTTAACGTTTTTTTGGCCTCAAAATTTAGTTAATAGAAATCTAATATAAAATGTACTTAATTAACAAGTGGTCAATTTTCATTGTTCCAGCTAATTTTTTGTTGTTAGGTACTTGTATCATAGATTTATCTGCCTAATAATAAGATTGAAACAAGTTTAACACTATATTTTAAAGGTTTTCCAAAATTATCTAAATTGATACTCCCTCTGTTCCTATTTACTTGTTCTTTTTTTTACTTAGCACACTTATTAAGAAAATAATAATTGACATAATAAGTTTATCACCTTTTTTTTAAGTTTACCACTTAATCCCTATTAATTGACAGAATTCCAAAATCATTTTACTCATTAAAGAGGTTTTACCTTTTTCAAAAACATTAACTCTCTAAATAAATTGAGGGTATAATAGGTAACAAATATTTTCTTTTATTGATTTGTAAAAAAATAACTAATAAAAAGTCAAAATTAGACAAGTAAAAAGAGAAATTATTTTGGTATAATCATGAATTTAATTCCCCTTTAATTCACTGTCAAGAATCGCAATTCACAAATATTCCATTTATGGCTTTAGTTTATTACACTTTATTACTTGATATTTTTTGGTCAAATAAAGATTTATTACTTGATATAAAATCAGTTTCTTTGTAGAAAAAGCACACACTCTCTCTATATATGTGTGTATTTCTTCTGCCCATAATTAGCAATATTATTTATTAAGAGAAATTAAAAATAGAAGAATGGTGACCAATTTTTTGTTCTTTTTTGTTTATTTGCTGAATTTTGTTACAACAGAAAGTTCCCTTGTTAATCTCACTATACTTCAAACTGCTGTTGCAAAAGGAGCTGGTGATTTTCTACTCTCTTTTAATTCCATTTATTTTTTCTTCTTATTTTTTCGGCTTGGCTGAAGAATGTTTCTCGATTCATGTGTTTGTACTTTGGGTTAAAAATAAATATAAAAAAAATCGAATGTTTTTTACACTTTAGGACGTTTCTCGATTTGTGTATGTATGTGTACACACATGGGGGTGAACAAAAACACAAACAACTATTCGTTCTATCTATTTATTTATATCTATTTTTCAATCTATCTGTTCGAATTATTTGTTGACACTTCTCTATTGTGTGTATACATATAAAAACGTGCACACGCACATATGTATTTATTTATTTGTTTATTTATTATGAATGTTGTGTTTATTATGCTAGTTTGTTTGGATGGAAGTCCACCAGCATATCATCTTGATAGAGGATCAGGTACAGGAGTGAATAATTGGGTAATATCAGTTGAGGTTAGTTTTGGTATTTTCTAAAACTCAGTTTATCTTTATGGAATTTATTTCAATAATAATGAAAAAACTTTATATTTTCCAAAACCAAATCTCCATCCTTGAGATAGATTTATTAAATAAAAGTGTACTTAAAATCAAGGAAGATGATTTATTAGAAAGTGGATTTCATAAGCAAACAACTATTATTACAAGAGTATTTATATATTATTAGCAAAATGTTATGGAGGCAGATAGGGATGGGGAGTGTGTGAAAAAATAAAGATGATTTTTGAAGGTATAACTAAATGTCTAAATTTAGATATTTAGTAGAACTTTCTAGAATTATTTAGAGTAATATCTTAAGTACTTGAGTGGAGGTTTGGGGGTGAAGCGAGTGGGACGGTCCAGGGGTGGGTCAAAACAATAAACTTTAGGATGTCGTCATTTATGCAACTTGTTTTTTCTATTTCCATTAGAAAGTCATTTTCCTTATTTTCAATAAGTTTGTTTTTCAAGAGAATATGTTTTTCAGACATTTAAAAAAAAAAATATATATATATATATATATATATATATATATATATATATTTCTTCGGATTAAACACACTCATATTCTTGTGCATTTCTTCTATCTTAGAATAGCAACTTAATTATTAATTAAATGTTAAATTTTGGATATTTAAGGGAGGTGGATGGTGCCAAAATGTTGCACAATGTCTTCTGAGGAAGAATAGCAAGTATGGCTCTAGTGCAAAAATGGAAAACCAAGTTTATTTCTCTGGGATGTTGAGTAATGAACAGAAATTTAATCCAGGTAATCTTCTAATTTAATTTTTGATTCATTTCACATTTATTAATATTTTTTATTTTAATTGGGTATAGGAAAAGGGCTAGTGAGGGGAATACAAGATGGGCATCGAACCTCACCGACATGGTGAAAGTTCAGGTAGCCAAATAACTGAACTACTAAGATTTCCTTCTTTTATGTATATATGAAGCTTAGTTTGATTAAGGGCAAGTTACACATTTGGTTGATCCATTGATATATAAAAATAATTACATTTACTAGCCGAATATTAGAAAAATACACAATTATACATTAACGATAACCTTTCGAAAATAGTCCTTTTTTCTTCACAGGTAAAATGATTTGTGTACTTTTTACCCTTTCTAGATCCCACTCGTGGAATTATATTGGGTGATTGTTGTTGTATTATACATTAATATACAAAAAAAAAATTATTATTTTGATGAACGGATATACAATATAAAAATCTCTTTCATTAATACAACTTTGGTGTTTTTGCAATTTGTAGAAATTTACAATTGGAATAGAGTTTTTGTTAGATATTGTGATGGAGGATCCTTTACAGGAGATGTTGAAGCAGTTGATCCTGTAAGTTACATTAAGTATATTCTTCAGAGCTCTTAATTTGTTAATTAGTACCAGTAATTATAATAATTAAAATTTTGTTTTTCTAATTATAACTCCAAAATTTGACAGGGTACTGGACTTCATTATAGAGGGGCAAGGATATTCAAAGCTATTATGGAGGAATTATTGGCCCAAGGAATGAATAAATCTGAAAATGTACGTATGATCACATTCAACTTTTTACTTATATATATATAGGCTCTCTGCAGAAAAATATTCGATGTTTATATTAAAGTTATTTTTAACACGTCATAATAAATAAATATATTTTATTTTGGAAAAATTATATATAATAGCAAATTATTAATTCAAATTAAATGTTATAAATATACTTTGATTTAATTGTACCCTATAGTAAACTGTTGCTATTTTCGCCACTCTCCTTGGTGGAATCTCGCTCGCCACTCTCGTTTGGTGGCAGTCTCGCTCGCCACTCTCGTTTGGTGGCAGTCTCGCTCGCCTCTCTTGCTTTTATATAAACACAAATGTATAAAATGTGTTTGTGTTTGTATAAAGCAAGAGGAAATTGTATAGATACATATATTTTCGTTCCCCTCTCCCAGATCTCGCTCGCCACTCTCCCAAATCTCGCTCGCCACCCTCGCCTCTCTCGCTTATACAAACAGAAACGAAATGTATAAATTACGCTTCTGTTTGTATAAAGCGAGAGAAAATTGTATATACACATGCAATTACATATATCTTCGTCCTATACACTTATAATTATACAATACAAATATTTCCCTGCCCAGTTTTCTTTTGCCTTTCTCTCTTTCTCGTTTTATACATACACAGATTATACAATTGATCTTTTGTATACAATTGCTTTCTTTTGTATATGTATAGCGAATTATACAACTGCTTTCTTTGTATATGTATAGCGAATTATACAACTATTTTTTTTGTATATGTATAGCGAATTATACATATATATGTTTGCTATGGAGCGTAATTATGCAAACTTTGCTATAGTATATAAATATGAATTTTGTGTTTGCTATATGTGAAAATTGCTCTTTTATTTTTAATGTTATTGACTTCAATAGTTATAAATTGGTAGGCTATACTCTCTGGATGTTCAGCAGGAGGATTGACAACAATTTTGCATTGTGACAATTTCAGAATTTTATTACCAAATAGTGTTAAAGTTAAATGTTTTTCAGACGCTGGCTATTTTGTTAACATGTAAGTATTCTTTTTTTCTCATTATTCTTTTATTTTTGGTAATTAAATTCTCAAAAATTTATGTTCATAGTTATTACTCCTACCTTTTATCGATTTAATTCTTCATACTATTAACAGTTTAATCTGTATATATTCCAGAGAGGATATTTCAGGGAAACCATTTATTCAACAATTCTTCAATGATGTTGTCACTTTACATGTATGTTTTATTTTCCCACTTTTTCATTGTCTATAATTTTGAAAAATGTATTTTTTGCTCTTATATTTTATTTTATATTTTGAATTTTAGGGCTCGGACAAGAATTTGCCTCCATCATGTACTTCAAAGTTGGAACCAGGTTTGGTAAGTGTAATATAATATATATCAAGAACTAATATTTGCAGGGTAATTGAGTTAGTTGAGTAGGGGATCTCTCAAATAAGGATTCTCAAGTTCGAACCCCTGCATCTTTTCTTAATCAAGCTCTTCGTACGAAACTTGTGCACTATGATTATCTCTCCTATGTGATTTGCATACTAATTTACACTAGAATAAGGATAGCACTGTTGGTTCCTTGTCATGAAAAAAATAATATCAAGAACTAATTTTTCGTTCAACAACATTATAGGATCTTGTTTACTAATTCCTCTGTGGCAATAACAAATTTTACCAATAATTATTTTAAATTTTGGAGATTAATTCCTCAAGGTAATTACATATATTACGAATTAACAAACAAATTAATGAAATTCCAAATCTAAGATTATTATTTTTTAATTTAAATGGTGCAGTGCTTTTTCCCTCAAAATGTGGCTCAACAAATTCAAAAACCACTTTTCATTATAAATTCAGCATATGATGGTTGGCAGGTCAGTTTATTATATTTTTCAAATATGTTTCACATTATTTTTTTTCCTTTTTTTCCTTTACATATTATTAGATTTTTTCCTGAATTTTATATATATTTACTTTAAATTAAGGTAAGGAACATTTTGGTGCCACGTGGTACCGATCCTAAGGGTGCATGGAATAGCTGTGGAGCTAATATAAAAACTTGTACACCAGATCAACTCAAAGTTCTTCAAGGTCAATAATATTTTCAAATTTTTCGATTCGTTATATATTCATCAATTTATTTTTTATTTTCCTAGATAGCCTTGTGCAAAAAGCATCCTGCGAAAGCAGGATTTGGAGAAGGTTGCACCCCAAAGAGTGATGTAAACCGTCTATTCTAATGGTATTTCTATAAGACACACGGAAATGACTTAATTGTTTCTCCAAACAATATTTGACTGAATTTGTTTTAAGTAGTAATTTTTGGACAATTATTTTAGGTTTCAGATTGAACTTTTTAAAGGCATTGGAAGGTCTAGGGCCATCTTCAACAAGAGGATATTACATCAACTCTTGCTTTGCACATTGCCAAACTCAAAAACAAGCTAGTTGGTTTGGTCCCAATTCACCTAGATTATTCAACAAGGTAAAGCTATTTAGTAGATTTATGGTCTATTTGGACAAGCTTTTAGAAGGCCCAAAAATGCTTTTTTTTAAATAAAAAAAAACTTTTGAGAAAATATATTTTGTTTATTTTCCTATATAATTTTGTTTAATTTGTACTAAAGCGTAAACTACTCGTTTTTCTTTGTTACAGACAATAGCTGAAGCAGTAGGAGATTGGGTTTTGGAGAGAAATCAGTTTCGACAGATTGATTGCCCTTATCCTTGTGACAAAACATGTGGTTAAGCCAGTCACATAATTAGTTTACAACATATATAATTATGTCTTTTTCTATGAGATTTTATAGAGGGGATTGTGATATAGGAAGAAAGAAAACTTCTTTGAATCAATGGGATTGTATCATCATCATAGAATTTTTATGTCTGTTAAATCACAAATGCCATGAAGACATGAACTAGTTGAGGTGATACAACTTTGCAGCTCAAGAAATACTGATTCAACAAAAAAAAAGTCCTATCCATTCAGATGCAGAGATCATGGATCTATGTAACATATTTTGAATGACATATATAAGAAGCAATCAATGATTTCTTCGATTAAGTTGCCATGAAAACTGATCAAGAACTACCATTGCACGAGATGCTGAACCAATCGAGCCATCATACCTGTATAATCAAGTAAATTCATGGTTCCAGTGAGTCGAATCCCAATTTCAAGTAAGCATGTTTAGACTAGTCACTACAAAACTGTGCAGGCTGCAAGTTTTCTGTTAAAATGGGGAATGACAGACTTCAAGAGCAAACTTTGATTTTGGACCTGAGCACATAAGACCCTCATTTACTAGACCTAATAAGTGCTTTAAATTCAATAGAGAAAAGACTCAAAGCTAATGTAGTTAAGACAAGAGGTTCATGTGCCCCACAATCTAATTTAGTTTTAAAGAATCCAAACAACGTAAAATCCCTCGTATACCAAAAAGCATCATCAATGAGTAGCAAAGGATAATAGAGAAATGTCATCGTCTAGCTAGCTGAGAAGAAGTGCAACAATTTTTATTAACCCTCCCTATGAGCTCCCACCTTTTTTGCTCCCTTGGTGACTCCAACCCACATCCTTAGGATTGGATAGTTTTCCGAGAGACTTACACATCCAAACTCAATCCTAAACCAGACAGGCCCGGTTAAACTCAAACATAACCATAGAATAAACTTCAACTACCATCCAACTAATGAACATCAATGCCTCAGAGTTCCATTGATGAATGACGAAAGAGGGGCTTTTTATTTATTTTTTGATAAGTAGAAAGAGGGATATAACCCAACAACGAGGGAACGAAATAATAGAAACTTTGAGCATATTTTGTAGGCCTTTCGAGATCAAAACAGTGAACAATTACTTAGCTCGATGGAGAGTTGCGAACCAAGAGAGGATGGAGAAGCCAATGGAACCAAACTTGTATCTTTGTGAGAATTAACACCGTCGCATTTAGTTAACTTTATGCTTCTTTTAAAATGTGACTAAAAGAGCTCCAATAAATGAATATTTGAAGTACTGAGATGGATTAAAGAGGGACAGCCATCCGAATATATATACATGTAAGAGAAGACCAAACAAATTGATTCTCCAAAGACCTTAAACTTAGGAACATCTTGAATGAATTTAAGAAACGATCAACAAAGGGCTATGAGGGAATTTTATGGAATCTTAACAATCAAAAGAAGAATTTGAATGAATCTTATTGTTATTTATAAATGTATTTCTTTAAACTATACCAAGTCCTACATAGAAACTTTGTCAATAATGAACAAGTATCTTCTTTCATGAATCAAAATCGAAAGAATCATGATATGTTCCAAAGCATTTCGATTAGTCACTACACCATAGATAGTTGTGCTGAATTACCCGATGAATATTGGAAATACTACCCAGTATACTAGCCCTTCCCACTTTGTTTCCATGACAATGTGACTTCTAGAATACAGACTAGAATTTGGCCAGGATTATACATGCATTATCATTACTTTGGGTCTAATGGAATGGTGGGAGCAGATTGGACTACTGTAACCTAAGTATGGAAATACTTACAATCCAATCAAGAAGAATGCCCCTGTCTGCATCAGAATAGCACCTTCACCAGCAGGTTTTGAAGTACTCATACTTCTTGCACAGAACCAACTCTCATGAATTGATGTTACAAGATCTGTCGACAAAAATGACAAAGCTAGCTTTTAAGCGGTGTTTATTTTCAAGAAAGCAAACCAGCTGTTCTTAAAAAAAAAAATTGAGATAGATTTTTTATATGAAAAAAAAACTGTGATAGTTCTGATTTTAGTAATCCTTTCTAAAGAACTGCAATAACAATAAGAATAAAAAAGTAACCAGGCGTGACAGTTGGTGTTTTGCTTGGCATTATGACTGAGTGCACAAACAATGCTGTCAAATCCTATAAGCAGCCCAGCACGCAGCCACCACAAAAACTATTATTAAGAAAAGATAGGTATATTGCATTTACTCCTCAATATCACACGTGCAAGAGGCAAAGTACGAACATGAATGTAGGTACCCCATCACTATCTCTACACATTTAAACCAAAGTGCCAGCTCCAAGCTTCAGAATTTTGGAAAACCACAAATGGGCATACAGTTCAGATGACAAGTAAAGATAAAATCCTTCCCACAACCCAAAGTTCAAGCATGATTAATTTTTATTTGTAAACAGCAATAAACTCACATTGATTTTGTCCAATGACAAAGCTCTCCTTCTGCAGTTTGTTTCTCTTAACAAAGCTGATGAGTTCACACATTTCGGTTGGATCTGCCATTATACCTTCTTGCTCTGCACTACATGCATAAACACAAGCCTTTAAACCTACACCATTTTCCAGAAGCACAGAAGAAAGCGGAAAAAAAAAACAGTTTTGCACATAGTGACACTACTATAAAGTCTCTAGAAAGAACTTTTTCTTTCTTTGCTTCTTATCTAATCTTCTCGTCCCATATTAGAGGAAAGTATGTAAAGTTTCTTATGTTACTTCACAACTAAATCATTGGTTGTTTTCGGAGTGCAGCTATAAAAGTTGAAAGCTGAAGAACCTTCCTACAAATACAGAGCACCATACTTGGTTTATTTTTGGAGCACTTGTGATGTTCATATATGTCCAGATTTATCGAACTTTGAAAAAGCAATCAGTGTTAATGTACAAAGCTTGGGTACTGGGTCTTCTTACTGTCAATAAGTACATCTTTTACTAATCGAAAAGGACCCGTAGAAAGCCAGTACTTACTGCACCCAAAGATTGTCAACTCTGAAGTATAGGACAAGAAAATGACACTTGAACTTTGATTATTCAGCATTTTGTTGTGGATACCCCTAAAGCAAGATCTTTAACCATGTGTAGGCTTCCAGGATCAGAACAAGGAGAATGATTGTACAGCTTCTCTTCTAAAACTACAGTAAAATCTCAAGTCTCAAGGAAAGATGATCAAAAAGAAACCCCAAGAATGACAAGTCAAGTTGCTTATACTGAAGTGGACAAGACCATTTGTTATAGTAAAAGAAGAAAAAAAGATCACTTTTATCAAAGTACTGGTGGTATTTGAACTGAGGCAAAAGGGTTTGATCAACAGTCACGTAAGTTAGGGCAAGATAAGAGCCCTCTTTGGCCAAGGAATTCCTTTTGGAACTTATTATGCTTATGAAAAAAAATTATTACTAGAAAAAAGCAATTGCATTGTTCTAAATAACCAGTTTAGCTACCTCAAGACATACATTGACAGAAAAGATAAGAGCTATAAATGGTATTTCCACATTTTCCCTTACATGGTAGACATCAGACGAGAAGGGGCATTAGGGTCGTAATTTAAAAGTAAAGCAGCCTTCAATGGTTGACCTGAAAATGGCAGAACCCATCTCAGCTGAATTATACATGTTAAAGTAAAAAAAGAACACATGATTCTTCTTCAGCAATGTTACATTCACAGACCTGAACCAACATTGCTCGAAATCGATTTTTCCCAGATTTTATGCACAAATGCCCACTCCATTATATTGCTCTGCCTGCAAGAAACAACACACTCACCTCCAAATCATTTACACTAGAGAAACTTTATGCAGATAAAAGACATAAATGAAAGCAATTCACCACCAAAAAGATACATGCATAGACAGATAGAAGAGGTTCTCAGAGGAATTTCATCAAACAGGAGATGGGCACAAACAACTTTCCTCAGTATAAAACAGACGAACTAATTTCTGATTCAAAAACAAATATACCTGCTCGAAACTTGGATATAGCAATTTCAGTAGAGCACCAAAAATAGCAAAAATGGCGAAATTCCAGCAGAGTTGTAATTGGGATGAAAATGGCTCAAGTGCACAAATAATCGGTTTGCTCACAACGTTTTCGTACATTTAACCATAGTAGACCAAGGTTACAATTTACCAATATTTGAAAAAAAAAAATGTTATGATTTTCTTATATGAAATATATATTTTTTAAAGTAAAATAATCTGGAAAACTTTGTTTCTTTTTTCATTTTGTAAGTGGTTAATATCTTCAAAATATTTGCAAATGAGTTTGGTAATGCGTGTACATGTAAACTTTCGACCTATGCTTCACAAATTTAATTTGATAAAGCTAAACTTTGTATATTTGTTTGAAGTTTTGGACATAGATGTTCAATATTAATATTTAAAAAAAAATTGAACTAGTAATGTTTATTCTTACTCATGTTTCAAAGAATTTTCAATAATATTCACGTAATTTAAATTTGCCTTTTATATTCAAAATTCACTTGTTTATGCTTGTAACAATGATGATTTTAGATGATGCTTTAATTTACTCTGTTAAAATTGAATCGGTTGTTGACATTATTTCTTTTACCATTTTGATAGACTTTGCTTCAAGTATCATACTTCAATTGTGTTGTTTTACCTGAACTTTGTCTAGAATAACCATCAAATAATTATTTTTTTGCAAATTGACTATAGGTTAAATGGGAGCGTCAAAATAGAATGCCCCACTTTTTGGTCCGCTTATTTGAAAGCAACTAAGAGTCATTTTCACGTAGCTTTGGTTCAAATTCCAAAATAATTCTATAAAAAATTCTTGAAGAGTCATCTACGTATTTAAAAATTTTAAAAAATATAATTCACTCATAAAATTATCGTATTATTTTCTTATATCACCTATGAAATTACATCATTATTTTCTCAAGGATCACCCATGAAATTATCCCATTATAGATTTCTTTATACTTTTGGGATTGAATTATTTATTGCAAGTATTACCGTTGGAAATTTCACCCATAAATTTATCTTATTGTCATTATACATTAGGAATTGTAAGTGTTGTATATACTACTCATAAATTTTATTCATAATATAATTAGATGAGTGTTAATAAATTGACAACTTTCCTAAAGCTATAATAAACACATATATGAATAATATTTGCAATTTTTTTGTTCATTAAAAGCCAACTTGATCACAGCTTTCCTTGTCCAGTGAATGAATGGATATTTATTAGGTTGTTGGCCAGACACTTTTCAATGTGTTCATTTGAATTCAGTATTTTTCAGGCGAAGAGTAAATTTATGTGTAAATATTTATTAAACTTTTAACAAATCTTATAATTAAACTTGTAATTTTTATAGTACAATTAATTTAGTATTTAAGAAATTTTATAAGTTTAAATTTTATATTCACTTCTAGATGAATTAAGTAGAGCCCTCCACCCAGTTGATTGCAAAATTATTTTGAATAGTGCAATTGCTAAATTAAACCACTACACTTTGTTTAGTGTTAATGTGAAATAGTTTAATTTTTCATATAACCAAATATTATTTTTATACATATATATAAGTCTACACTAGGCTCTAAGGAGGCCTTTCGCTATCGATGTGGATATGACAAATGACCTCCCATCGATCGAAAGTTGCTTTAGTTTCAAGTTTGATAAAATTGTCAATCCAAACACACAAGTATAGTAGATTTTATTTCAACGAGATTTATAACACGTCAAAAGTTTTGGAGGTCTTTTTCTTGATTTGCTTTTCAAGGAACAAATCAATAAATGCAAAAAAAGCATTGGGCACTTGGCCCATTTAATCATAGTACAATCTCAGGGCCTACCAACAATGACACAAGTCATTGATTTGGTTAGACAAACAAGTACTACCAAAGTTATTTGTGTGTCATTTGGAACCACAACTTCACTCTTTGATGATAAGATCAATGAAATTGCAATTTGGTTAGTGTAATTGTTTTGAAATGAGAAAAATAAATATATATCTCAAGTTTATATCTTTTGTTTTGAGATTGTGAAAGATATTATTGGGAAAAAAGAATCACATTTTCTCAAATTATTTTTTCTTTTTAGTAAACAATTACTTTTTTTTTGTCTCAATTTAAGTTCCTTTTTTCGTTTTGATTTGTCCCCAAAGAAATGCCACTTTTTATATTTAGGATCATTTGACCATGTGAGATGAAATCATGATATGAAAATCATATGAGATGAATTTGAAGTTTTGTTTAAACGTGCAATTTGGATTTTTAAGTTCTATTTTTTTACTTAGAAATATAAATCCCTATAAGTTATGAAAACTATCAAAATTATCCCAACTTTTTAATACAATCTTACCAAATAAGTAAAAGTTCATAACAAATACATTATCACAAAGTAATTTTTAAAAAATACAACATTTATTGATTGAACTTTAGTTTCAATAAAAAGGTAAAATTGAATTGTAGTACTGTATCATCATATTAATTTTCTAAGAATATTTCATCACTCATTTAGTTTTTATGCAAGAAATTATGTAGATATAAAACTATTGATTTTTTTGACAAATATTTTGTATATCAAAAATATGAAATCGTGATATAAAATTTCCAAATCAATTTTTTTTTGAAGAATTTTATCTCAAGATTTGAAATCACGTGTCCAAATATTAATTTCATCTGATGATTTCAAATCACGAAATGAAATTGTATATTCAAACATCTACTTAATAAGTTTTTCAATTCTAACATTCTATCTAATTTAAAAATCTTTCTTAAATTTCACATTTAATTAAACTAAAATACTTTAAATTGAGATGAAAGAGTAAGAAAATCTACCAAAATCCAAAAAGATAGAGAACAATCATTCTAAAATCCTAAAAAAGAGCGTTATCACGCCACACACAAGACAGAGTAGTTGCATTTGAATTCGCGCTATTACTACAATGCCAGCAACACATACACAGCCAAAAAGGGCAACACAAAAACATGTATATACCGTTAAACGGCAGCGTCCCGACCAAGCTTGAATTTGAATCCCCAAATTCTGCCACAAATAACGCCCATATACTTCTCTTTTCCCCACCCCCACCACCCTACCCCACTACTCTCTCACTGCACTAATCCATGAAAATGAAAATTATACGCAATAAATTTGTATAAAATAATCAAAATCCAACTATTACATTCAAATTACTGGATCTGAAACTCCTCATTTGGATCTACACTTTTTCTACTTGAAATGGGTTCGAGTAGTAGCAAGAATAATGCAGTTAATTCACCGCTGCCACCGTCATCTCCGGCGGCTTCATGTTCATCATCGGTGGTCGTTCGGAGATCTCGATCCACTCGAAGTAAAGTTTTTCAGTCCGCCTGTCTCGGATCTCGCGATTCTGAAAATGAAGCAGCACAGGTTTGTTTTATATGTTTTTCTAGCATTCTGCAGCTTTGATCATGCTACATTGTGTTTGTTTGGCTTTATAATGACCTACAATATGTTAGTGATCTGGAAAAATGTTCTTTCACAATATATTTTAGGCACATTATGAAACGCAATTTTGTACTAACTGGTTTTCCATGTATATTTGTTTTTTAGTGGTTTAGTTTAGTGCTAATGGACAATAGATTGGTATTTTTCTAGTTCTGCATCTATAGGCATGCGTAGAGGTTGTTCATTGTGCTTTCATTGTTGTACTTTTGGCTCTACAATGGTTAGTGCTTTGAAAAAATTGTACATAAACTACTAAACTTTTGCCATATGTGATAACGTTTTTGATTCATAAACTTGTATTTCAGGCTTTGGAAACTCAAACGAAACGAAATGAGGGTAGTGGTGCTTGTTTGAGTGAGACTAAATCAGGAGGAAGAAAAGCCGAATGGTTTGGAAAGGTTAAAATTAAGAAGCATGATGAAACATGTGTAGCCTCCAATATTGAGATTGATGATTGGGATGAATCACGCTTATCTGATACAATTGCTAGGAAAGGTGATGCTTCTTCTCGAGCTTCATCATCTAGATCATCGAATCTTTCTGGTCGTTTTCTCCCCCGGTTCAATTTTCGTCCTGGAAACATGAGCTTCCGGCTGAGCAGAGCAAACAGTTTAGGGTCAGCAAGGTCCCTTTTTGCATCTTCACAGAGGTTTGCTACTTCAATTAATGAGGATGAGCTTCGGCGCTCAAGTTCGTCAGGTAGATTCACTGACAGAAATGAAAGGCCACAGAATTGTGACTTCCTTCCTAGTTGTTTCAGCAATCAGTCTCCTAGCCAATGCTCTGAAGATGTTACTTCTAATAACTTAGTATTCACTCCTTCAACTGCTAACTTCTCTGATAATTTCACGGATGAGCCACATCCTACTTCCAGAAGAGGTTTGTCAGGTGACAGACATGATACTAGAGTAGAGTGTACTGTTAATTTATTTTCTCCAAGAAATAATAATTATACTGACGGTTTCGAGACAAGAGTTTCTGACAGAAGGAGTGCAGCTCGCGAACCTACTGAAAGGAACATCAGTATCAGCAGAACCCTGAGTGTTGGTAGACTTCGCGATAGGGTTGTTCGAAGATCATCATTTCCTGATGTTTGTTCCTTTCAACGGGAAACGGAAACTGGGCATGCTAGTGAGAATAGTATGAGACAGAATTTAGGTGGTGAATTAAGTTCGGTAGCATCCGAAGGGAATGACTTAATTCTATCAAATACTTCTGGCTTTGCATCATCTGGTGCCTCTACCTCCTTGTATGGGAGCCAATATTATGCAGTTGAGAGCCCAAGAGGAAGAGAAACAAGATATCATGATCTTCTGGAGCATAGGTCAAATTGGCTAGAGCGGCGAAGAAGAATAAGATCTCAGGTCTGTAAATATCTGCCTAATTTCATTGTGCTTACATTTAGGTTATATGACAACCCCATATAAGCAAGAGGGTAATAGTGTGTTTTGCTTTAAACATGAATGCAATACTTCTAATCCTGTGTGTCACGTGTTTGGTGGAACTCGTTGGTCATTACTTCCAAAATAATTCTTAAAAAAGATATATCATTTGGTATTACTTTTTCAAACAGAATAGTAATCTGAATGTGCTTGAAAAGCATATATATGTACAGTCCCTCTAATCATGTATAGTTTTGAGACAAGACATGACTTTCTTGACAAGGACATATTGGTCAACTTTTTAGGTCTATGCCCTTCAACGACTGGGAAGGCGCTTTGAGAACCATTCTGGACATGAGAGGTCTTGTGTTTTATCTGGTCAGCATCGAACAGGTCACTGTACATGTCGTATCAGTAGCCAAGGAGCTAACTTAGATAGTGACAGTAGTGCCAGGGCAAGCATCTCAAGAATTGTTATGCTGGCAGAAGCTTTATTCGAGGTAATGTTACCAATCTGTTTTACTTCATCAACATCTACCTTTTAATCATCAGTACGAGTTGAACTTGGATACTCATTTTAGGTTCTGGATGAAATTCATCAGCAATCAGTTGTATTATCATCCCAGCCTTCTGTATCCTCAATTGGATCTGTTCCAGCACCCAATGAAGTTGTTGAATCCCTACCTGTCAAATCATACAACAAATTTCGTAGGAGTTCGAATGACGAAGTTACACAGTGAGTAGAACATTTTACTTTTTGCCAGATTATTGCACCTTTAAGATTTATTATGTATGTTATTTGGTTCCAAGCAATCTAACAATGCTATGTTTTTGTTTCATTGGTTCCTTTTCTTCTTGCACCATTTATAGTTTTGTATTCTTTCTGAGAGAGTTGTTAATATTGATATAGCACTTTTTGGAAGTAAATGTAAATGAATTTCCAAAACGTTATGCAAAATTTTAGGGGGAAAGTAGCTAAAAGAGGTACTTTTTGCTTGGTGCAACCATTGTAATTAAATATTGCAGCTATGTTTTTGGATTTTGTAAGCTCCTTGAATTTTGGATCGGAGAAAAAGGAACGTATAGGAGCTCCTGCAATTGCATCTCTGGTTGCTAAATAACTAAAAGTTCAACTTGTCTGATAAAAAAATAGCTAGAAGATACTCAGAGATTGAAGGAAAATCACTGAAAAAGAGTAGCACTTCTTACTAGCATGATTAATTAGTAGTCCTCTGGAAAAGGAAACATTATGACCAATGAAAATAGGCTCAATGGCCAGATGAGTCTTGCTTAACCCTCTTTAGTTCCTTCTATACTGCATTCGGCAAATCCCAAAATGAAAATCTTTCTTCCTCTGAACGAAGGTGAATATAGATGTATCTAAAGGTTTGTTATAGAATACTGATTGAAGAATGTTGATGAATGTTGTGAAAGATAAGCTTGACGTATCTTTATTTTCTGATTTTCCAATATGTGAGAGGATCTGATTTTTTTTGCTCAGTGTGGAATTTGAATTATGCGAGGCATATCAAATAAACCAAACTAGCCAGCTCACTTGGCATTAGTTATATTGGAATAAGAAGATTTAGAGCCATTTAATGAGCAGATCTTTGCTTCAGCTAGGATTTCTACCATTGTATTCTGTTTCTTTTCAGCATGGAGAGTTTGCTTTGTCTGAAATGCAAGCACGTACACCTGCAAGAATAGTGCTTTGGCATACTGTTCCGAACTATATAATTCATATAATTGTATCTCTAACCCTAGAAGAAAGATGTGTCCTTGTATATTTGATGATACCAACACAAACAGTCAAACACCGTGAGAATGCAATGATTCTAAAAAAAGAAAGAAAATAATTTAAGATACTGGGAAACCTCTCAACTCCAAAGCATTTGCAACGAAGTACCAATAATCTTAAGGGTCTTCTTTACTAGTATTTTGCTGTCACTTGTACTTTCATTAATTTATTCTGAAATAGAAGTTTTAAAGAGTTGTAGGTGAAAGTAGTGGTCTTTTTTCATGCTCAATCTGCTGCTAGCATAGGATTTAAACCTAGAAATAATCTATTTGGTTATGCCATCCTGGACTAAGTTAAAATAATCATTACTGGTTGTCTGGGAGTAAATATAACATGGTTGGGTTCTTTATGTTAAAACTCTTTCATATTTTGTTTATTATCTAATTCTATATGCAGAGTATTTAAATTTTTCCTTTTCTTTCTTTCATTCTTAGTCAAAAAATTGATTCGTTAGGTGGTCTTGTTAGCTAGATATGGCCTTATTTCCTTCATGTAAACTATTTGGCTTTATTTTGACAGATGTTACATTTGTCTGGTTGAGTACGAGGAAGGAGATATGTTACGAACACTGCCTTGCCATCATGAATTTCACAGGACTTGTGTTGACAAATGGCTCAAAGAAGTTCACAGGTATACTTTCCCCTTTTGCTTTGTGCTGATATCTTTCAGTCAATTTCAAAATTCAGAGGCTTCTCATCTATTTGTTTCATCCAATTTTCCTGTAGACTGAAGTTACAAACTTCAATCTAGCCTTTCCTCTTATCATGATACTTGGCAAAGAGATGTACAAAAATGTACTTGAATATGATTTGATTAGATGGAATCTGTTTAGGACTTGTTTCTTAACCAGTTTAGGGTGTTTCCCTGGTTAGTACCCTTCTGCCTCAATCTTTCCATCGCCTTTGCTACCATACTAAAGCAAAAGTATCACTTTTGAAATCAGAGTTCATCAACACCCTAGGGTGTTGCTTAGTGGTCCATGAAGTGGGTGAAAACTTTGGAGACCCCGGTTCAAATTCCAACCTAGATAAAAGCACTAGGTGATTTTTTCTTATCGTCTAAGGCATAACCGATAGAGATAATCGGTCTCTGTACATGTGAGAGATATCAGGACTCAGTGGACTAGTCAAGGTGCACTTAAACTGGCTCAGAGACCACTCTTATCTGGAAAAAGACGAAATTAGAGTTTATTACAAGCCCCTCCTCAAGGTTTCTTCTTAGAAAGCTACTCTTCCATGGTCTTAGTATAGTTGGAGAGAAATTTTGAGAAAGATCTTTGTGTACAACCTATGGAATAACAACACACTATGATTATTGTAGGTTGATAACTTGATATCATGTTATACATCCAACCAAGATATTTTTTATTATAAGAAGTTTGTTAAACCTAACAACACACCTAAGAAAAGTCCAAAGCCAAAAGGGCAAAAAAATTGGCCCAAAATTTCGAAAGGGCAAACAAATCGCAGAAGAAACCAAATGGGTAAAGGCGCAAGGGGACCATGCGCCTTACCCCTTACGTTGTTAAAGGTGTTAATTGACAAAAGGAAGGTGCACTGACACACCGGCCTTGTAAGGCGCACTAGCACACCGGCCTTGTAAGGCGCACTGGCACACCGGCATTGTAAGGCGCACTGACACACCGGCCCTGTAAGGCGCACTGACACACCGGCCTTGTAATGCGCATTGACACACTGGCCTTGTAAGGCGCATTGACACCTGTGCCTTTGCACTGTTGAATCAAATCAACACTATAAAGATTTAAGACCGGAGGAAAAAAACAAAACCCTAAGTAAGGGTTGCAAAGTTTTAAAAATAATTTATATTAGACTTCAAATTGTCTTTATGGTATTCGATAACTGGTCTCAATATTAATTGAATTTCATAGTACATGATAATTTATAATATTTTATTTAATAATAGAAAAATAACTAATTATTTATTTTGATAATGATTTTGATAATTATATATTTGAAATTTATTAAAATTGTTGTACTTTGCCATCAATGTTATATTAGTGATAATGATAATATGACATGACAATTTATATTATTTTTAAAACTTTGCAGTGTTGATTTGAATCAACACTACAAAGATTCAAGATCGGAGGAAAAGAACATAACCTTCAAGTAAGGCACATGGGTTCATGTGCTTGAGCCTATGCACCTTACTTTAGGGTTTTGTACGGTGAATCTTTGCAGTGTTGATTTGATTAAACACCGCAAGGTTTAAAAAAAGATTATATTTGACTTCGAATTATATTAGACTTCGGACTCTAATATGAATTATTTTTAAAACTTTGCAGTGTTGAATTAAATCAACACAACAAAGATTCGAGGACAAAGCCATAAAGTAAGGCGCATGGGCTCATACACTTTACTTTAAGATTTTGTTCTTTTCCTCTGGTTTTGAATCTTTGCAATATTGATTCAAATATAAATTGTCATAACATCATTATCATTAATATAACATTGATAGCAAAGTTTTAAAAATAATTCAACGACATTGAATTATTTTTATGGTATCCGATAAGTGATCTCAATATTATTTTATTTTCACAAGATAATTTATAATATTTAAATATTGATAATTACATATTTGAAATTTACAATAGCCATTGTTCAAAAATAATGGATTGAATCAAATCAACACTTTCAAAGTAAAAAAATATAAAAATACTCCTAAAGCACATGAACTCATGCGCCTAATAAGGCTCATGCACCTTATACCTATTGATTTTTCTATATATACTACTTTCACTTGCAAATTCATCATATAATTAGATTTCTATTCACATTAGATGTTCCTACCACATTTTCTTTATTACTAACTCATTATTATTTTTTTGCTATGAAATCTACATTAATAATTACTTATGTTAGATGCTACTCGAAAGGTTTTAGCACGAGTATTAATGGAAAGTTCCTTTTTGAAAATAAGATATCCAAGTTACAGCAAAATCATTTTGATGGAAACAATCATGTTATGTCTTTTGTTACAAGGCGAAGAAGTTAAGAATGTACAAGGCTAACACATGCCATGTTAATAATGAATTTACGTCCTCCTAGGACAGGCTAAAGTAATGGTTGTTGTTGAAGATAACAAGCATGTTAACAACGAAAAAGATGAAGATATTTTTAAGAGTACTTCGGTTAAGACTCCAACAAATAGAGAAGTTAAATATTCGGACAAGCTAGGTGTTTCAATAGTAGAAAGTTATGAATTTTTTCGGGTTCATTTTGAGGTTAGGATGATCTCACTTTTTATGTTAAGAATACAAAAAAAAATGAGTTGATCAACTATAAAATATTTTCCTCTATTGCAAGGTGCAGGTGTCAGTGCACTTTACTAGGCCAATGTGTCTGTGCGCGTTCCTTTTGTTGGTTAACAACGTAAGGGGTAAGGTGCATGGGCCCCCTACACCTTTACTCCTTTGGTTTCTTCCGTGATTTGTTTGCCCTTCTGGAATTTTGGGCCAACCATTTTTGCCCTTTTGGCTCCGGACTCCTAAGAAAGGAGTGGATATTGTTGATTGTATACACCTACTAATATCTCTTAATTAAGAAATTACCAATTACAAGAAACTATGTCAAAGACAAAATCCAAAACATATCCTGTTTCTTAGAACTTATGCAGAGTTCAATTTGAAGATGATGGTAAAATATCTTGAATGTGTCATACTGTTTCCACTCAACTGATAGAATCTCTAAGACATGCAGTAGAAATTGTGAGAAAACCTTTTTTACTTTTCATGCTTTCACGTATGCTGCTACAATAGCAATATCACAAAAAAGGTTTTAAGAAATACTCTTAGTTAATCACATGCCTACTTGTGGTTGAGCAGAGCAATTCGTTAACGAAAAATCATGAAGTTGTTCCACTGGATGTTCATTCCCTTAAGTGAATGTAGTTGTACATGATAATTGTGAGAATAGACGAAATAATTAGTGGTCGTGGCTACAGATGTGGTAAGAGGCGGAATTCACAGTGATAAAAATAAACAAGAGAATGATAAGGGTTCTCAAAATTATTCTTTTAAAAAGGGTAAAGATAATGTATGTCATCAAGTATGGAAGGTCATTGACCATGTACTTGTTGTGCCTCTGGATGTTTTATCAAGCTAGATCTCACAAAGAAACATGGTAATATTCAGACAAATCTTGCGTTCAATGATAATGACTTTGTGCCTCATAAATATTCATCTAAAGCTGAAGGCTTCGTTGAGGATCATAAATGGAAATTTGATCGTCTTACCAGGAAAAGAAATTAGAGTAGCCCATGAAGATTGCTTACCCCCCAAAAACTTAGACTTGGACAGGATGTATAGTTCCTGAAGTGCCTGCAACATGATATCTGTACCCTGCAATCTGTGGTCACTAGTTTTTTAATTAATCTCTGAAAGCAATAAGAGTGATTACAATCTTGTCTTGTGATAATTATCTTTTTGGTTTTGGCGAAAAATTATCTTCTGCTAAATGAAACTGGAGTTAAAATTGTTCATTTTATGTAGGGTATGCCCATTATGTAGAGGTGATATCTGCCAAGGGAATGTTTGATGTTGCTTTCCTGGATATCCTGTTTTGTATTATGGATCCCCTTGATAGTGTTGCAAGAAGAGTTGGCGCCAGGAGTAACTTCACATGTCCTGAAACTTTCTTCGATACACTTGATTATGCACAGTTTGAGAGTTTGGTCCTGTTTCAATGCAGTTATCCATCTCTTTTGTTGTAATTGTCTTCCTTTACAATATTCATTTGTGATAGAAACCTATAGTTTCCCAGTAAAGATGGATCAACTACTTGTGACATACCAAATGATCTGGGCAACGTTTCCATATGGGGTAAGAAATGAGCTACAGATTTTTCAAATAATGTGCTGGTGGTTACTACGGGAAACCCAATTCACGATTGAGAAGCATCTTTTTATATTCCTAAATTGGTATATAGATAATGGAAGTTACGAGAGGATCAAATTACTTTACTTCATTAAGAGCAACACTTACATGTACCCTTTAGCTGGTAGAATAAAAGATGTATACACAATCGAATGCAACGCAGCAACGATGAAGGGGTCGATTTTCTTGAAGCAAATGTTAGTAACATTACCTTGTCCAACATTGTCAACGACCCAAAAATTGAATTTTTTTGTCAATTGCTTCCATACCAACGTCATGATAGATCTAAAGAACCAAGTGAACAAGTTTTGCTAGGAGTTCAAAATTGAGTAAGTTCCCTTGTGAAGGAATTTCCATTTGTGTGTGTTTGGCATTTAATTGGTGATGCATCCACACTTTGTACTTTTGTCAAAACATGGGCCAAAGTCAATCAAGAAAATGATCAAGAAATCAATGGATTCATCGTTGTCGTTACTAGGATTTTTCCACTAATATATCTTGGAAATAATCCTATGTTAACAATGATTCCATATGGTCATTAACACAGAGTTGCCCTGTTGAGGAACATTGTGCCATTCGTGTTGAGGCTCTATCAGCCTTCCTATGGTCATCAATTATACCAACATGAAAGGACAAAAAAAAGGTTACATACTAATGGTATCAGTTAACTTGAGGAAGAGAATGAATCCAAATTTCCCCACAAATTGCATTGGCGATCTAATTTATCCAACAATGGCCAAATGGGAAGTTGAAGAAGGGAAAATGGATTACAAAAAGTTGGTGGAAAAAGTCCAAGAATCATTAAGGAAAGGTAGAAGATGGATATATAAGAAGAATTCATGAGAAAAATGAGTACATAGATTACTTAAACTCAATTCTTGAATTGTGTACAAGTAGAGGAAATGAAGTGGGAATTGCTGGTTTTATTAGTTGGTGTAAAATTGGTTTTTATGAAGGTGATTTTGGATGGGGTAAGCCTATTTGGATTAATTCTGTAAAATGTCCATGTGGATTTCATTTTATGGATAGTGCTGATGGCAAGGGAATTGAAGTATGGATGGGATTGCCAGAAGAAAACATGAAGTTGTTGGAGAAGAATGAAGATTTTTTTTCATATGTTTCTTCAAGTCAAGATGTTTGAAACTCAAGAATTTTAGTAGCTCAGTTGGTTGATTGATTACCTGAACTTTTCCGTTGTTGGTGAAGATTTTATTCCCCGCCTTGTAATCCCTCCCCCGGTTTCCCTTTTCCTACTCCCAATTTAATGAAGATGTTTGAAACTCTGATTGGAAATATAATTTAAGGTTTTGAATGGTCTCTTTAGATTTAAGATTGTTGTCTAATATGTAACCTTTTTTTTTTGTTATTTGAAATCTTTGTTATCTAAGATTTTAATTTGTTTTAAATTTACTAGTGGATACCATTAGAGATTCAAATTTATCTAAGGAGGGATTTAACATCGTTTTATTAAGCAACATTTTAAGTCCCAAGTTAAAAATGCCTCTGGTAGACTTGTCATTTTAAAGTTTGACAAAATTAATACTATATATTTTTGCATTTTACCCTTAATAGTAATTGTTCTCGAAGACAACAAACAGCTCAATCATGATAATATAAATAAGGATAAAATAATCAAAACACCCCTCATAATTAATTTTTTTTTTACGGGCATATAGATGAAAAAAGTATTTTGTGACGAAGGCTAACTTAATAAGTTGTCTATTCCAAACAAACACCAAATTATTAAGGTTAATTCAAATAGAAACAACAGTATTTATGTTATATTGATTTCCCCTATCATCTACAATACAAGAATTTAACTCATTTCACCACTCAATAACCCTCCTGCTCTGCTCAATTACTTTTTTGAAGGAAAATATATAGCACAATAAAATAACCTCAAGGGCAATTTTATCTTGAATTGAGATCTTTTGGCTCAACTTTGTCCTGGTTTTGCCAAGGAAAGCAAGCACGTTTTAGTAACCACAAGAATCCTTACTTAGAATGAGATTCCAATTCGATAACACCAAATGCAAAAATTCAGAAGTTGCATCCAATTCCAGTTTTCAATTGTAAATGGTCGTCTTCAAGATACATGCTAGCATTCCTGCCTTGACTGCTCATATTCAAAAATGCTTTAGCTTTTCATCTCATTTGAAACCTCTACTAACTCGAAAAGTAAACCGCAAAATTTGAAAGCTCAAACGAATTACTAGCATTTCTCCAGCCCCAAAGTATTGAAAGGAATTTTATGATCACATTCAAGGCACTAAAGCACAAGAACTACAAAATATAGATAAAGATAAAAATTTGACATAGATATGTTCCCTTCGGAATAAAACATCATCATTGCGTATTACTGTCATAACTCTAAACAATCTCAAATGAAGGAAGAAAATCTGAAGCTGTTTATCACTTCAATACCCCAAAAAGGTCTTAAAAGATGAGATAAAGTTACTCCTAACACAGCAAAATTTCCAATTCTCTTAGTTCATCCTCCTAATAAGTTCATTGATAAAGTTCTCACGGTTACCAGCATCACCTCCTTCAACATAGTGATTCCTTTTCTTCTTCAGTCCACCCAAAGGTGCCTTAAGTTGGAACGGCCATAGGAAGTTGTTGGCCTGCTTGAAATGGGGTCCAACGGTCATGATCTCATGGACTAGGTCTTCCATGCAGATAATTCCATACTTGCCCAATACCTGAAACAGGTATAATCACAAAGACAGGTCAACAAAACACGAGAAACATTCGATTCAAAGACCAAAGTGCCGTTGTTTCAGAAACTGACCTGCTCAATGACAGAGTTATCAGTCAAAGCAATTCTCTGCTTGTCAACTTTCCCATAACCTCTCTTGTAGATCAATTCTCTAATACTTTTTAGGTTAGGATAACTGAAAGAGGAAAACCAATGTATATAAATAACAGATAAACAGCAAAAATGATCCAGGTAATGGCAAAACTCTCAAGTGATGACCTACCCATAGGTAACATAAGGTTCAACCCTGTGAAGCATGTTGACAGTGGCTTTGTTGACTTTCAAAAAGACACCGTTAAAGATCTGCCATCAACATGGGAGTAAGAGAATCACATAATTAGAATAGTGGAAAGTAACCTCAAGATATCAAATAAAATCTAAATGGATCCGCCACACCAAAATCAAGATATAAAGAAAATGCATATTCATTTTTTATACAAAAGAGAAGTGATGAAATATAATAATGAAGAATCCGTACCACTCCCACAATTGTTTGGCTGCAGATCAAACACTAGCAAGTTCAGCAATAAAATCTATATGAAGACTGAAGACTGTTTCAAGTAAAGTCTGCTCTAGATTTTTGAAAAAGATGAGCCATGAAACAATACCCAAAAAAAACATTTTTATGGTATATTTCAAGCAAAACAAGGGGAAATAACTAATAAAATTAAAGCATATATTGGAGAAACAAATATGATCTGGTTATTAACTGATTACTTTAAAACAATCTAGAGTGTTCTGAGTAGTAACACGAGATCCTACCAGCTCTCTCTAGCAATACCATCAAACAAGTAGTTAGTTACCTGTCTCAACCGTAGAAGCTGCAATATCTTTTTGGTCTGTGGAGGCATAGCGTTGATCCTAAGAAATATAATTTTAATGAGTACCATTACAATACCAGTGATTTCAAAGCTTAAAAGACCAGCCACAATAAGAGCTCTTACCCACGGATTCTAGTGATAAACAACAGCTTTGCTTCAGGGTCAACATAGAAACCACCCTTCAATCTAGCCTCACGCTTCAAACGGATCAACTCCTTTTCCTAAAAACAGCAATTGAAAACTAATTACTACATTTGGCACTCAAAACAAGAATATTATCTGAGGGTGATTGAGCTTGACCAACCTGCTGGTCGTACTCCTTAGCATACTGCTTAGCTCTGTTGTAGATCAATTTCCGGTTCTCAGCACTTTTCTTCTTTGCAGCTACAAGCTCTTGTGTCTTTGCAAGGGCCCATTCCTCACTCCTTTTTTGCTTCTTCAATACTGACTCTGGAACTGGAACAGCTCCCTTAACTACCTCACCCATCTCTGTCATATAACAATGTCAAATAACATGATATATCATTTCACCCGGAACTAGGTCATTGTTAAAAGGATCATCAAATTGGACACCACACTTACAAACATAATAATAACCAGAACCATTAAATTGCTACTCCATAAATATGCTCTATCTTATGAACACATAATCTCTTAAGACAAGACATTTCTTTATTATTTTTATAACTCTGGTGTCCAGGTTTATTTAATTTCACAGGAGACCTGTCAACTCCCCCAAGAAACATGTATAAGGTAACTCTGAACAGATGGCAAGAAATCATCTAATAATTTTGTCTCTTGTGGTATTTGAACTGAGACCTCATGGTATTCATTAACAACCCTGGGTGCAGCATTTCTTTGTTCCTTACCACCCTTAAATCTCGCAATTCATATGTCATTACTAAGAGTGCATTACAGCTCCTCTAACAAAATTTTCTATGATAAATCATATAACAGATTAAGAAACTAGTTTTCAATCCTAAGCCAAAAAGAAAAAAACTCAGAAAGCAGAAATCTTTTACTACCATCACTTAAATAGATTTTAATAAAGTAATCAGGAAATCCAATGAATCATACTTAACAACAAAACAATAATTTTCCACGAACAAAAGTGAACACACACAAAGATCTTCAACATAAAACCAAAACAACAGCAAATAAAAGCTACCTAAATCGCATTAAGAAGCAACACTAAAGGTAAAAGCAATAACAGAAGAATGTGAATGAAATCTAATAACAATTAGCAAAAAAATAGGAATATAGTACATAAAAGCAATGTATGTGTACCTTGAAATTGTAAAAGTGAGAAGAG